GTGTGTGCTCTTGTGCCGCGTCCCTCTGTGTGCTTCCGTGCTCGCTTGTGTTCGCGTTCGCGTACGACCCCGCCTCCGGTCCTGCTGGCGCGGGGCGGTCTCAGCAGGCCTCCTTTAGGACTCCTAGGACTGTTCTGGCGGCGGTGCCAGCTTGGAGGACATACTGCCTGCTAGAGGAGAGGAAAGGAAAGGACTTTGAAAATGTTGCTGGGAGATCCTGCCGTGGCAGCGTTCGTGGGGGCGTCGAGGGCCAAGGGGCCCGGCGTCGGAAGTGGCACTGGCACGGTGGTCTACGCCGAGACGCCGCCAGTGCATGAGGCGAAGGAGGCGCGGCGCTGGAGATCGTTGTCGCTCGCTGCCGGCTGCCGAAAGAAAGAGATGATAAAAAGAGGAATAGGATAAGAATGTGGCCTTTTGTAGCAGGTTTTGCGCTTAGGTTCCTCCCAGTCCATGTGGCCGGAGCGCATCCTCCCTTCCAGGGGACCGATGCCGGGTCCGGAAGGGCGCGTTGGGGCTCGGGGACGGCTTCGAACGCTAGAGAGAGAGAGAGAGAGAGAGAGAGAGAGAGAGAGAGAGAGAGAGAGAGAGAGAGAGAGAGAGAGAGAGAGAGAGACGAGAGAGACTGGTGGTGGAGGAGCTGATGGAGAGACGCCTCGCCGCCGCACGCCCCCTCCCTCCCTCCCTCCCCGGACGCCATGGACGACGGTTCGTGTGTCCGGCGCCCCCGGATCGCGATTCGAAAACTGTCAACGCCGAGGCACAGCTCATGAATGCTTCATGCATGAGTTCCGAGACAGATGTGACAGAAGAGCCGTCCACTCGGCGAAGTGTATATCGACCTTCGTTCTCTGTCTGACCTTCGAAAAATTCTATAGAGCAGAGAGAGTCGTCCCATCGTCTGTCTGCGGCAGTGGGCGAGCGAGGGCGACTGCCTCTACTACACACTACCCAACTTGGTGCATAGGCGGAGGGTCTACGTGGACAGATATTGTGGCTTGGGTTATTTCGGGGTGGAGGGACGGAGGGTTAGTAGAAGAGGGGAGGGGAAGAAGAGGAGGAAGAAGGAAGGAAGGAAGGAAAAAAATATGGTGAGAGCGTAAGAACTAGGAGCTGTAACTCTGTGCCGCTTCCTGGACAATTAGAAGGGCTTTTAAGACCTCGCATGACTGCAGTCTCTGTGATTATCTTGGGCCAAACAGCTCCATCGATACGCCGCTTGCATACACAGGAACCCCCTCCGCTAGCATGTGTTTCGAGGGGAGACGGGGAGGGGGGAGAGGATAAGGGGGGAGCGATTGTGGAAGGGTCGGAGGTCATGAATCAATGATAGGGTCATGCACAAGCCATTTTCGTCCTTCTCGATACAACTGGCGAACGTTTCTCTCTCGTCTCTATCTGTCTCTCTTTCCCTTTCACTCTCCCTCTCCCCCTCCTTCCCTCCCCCTCCTCCCTTCCTCCCGTTCCCTCCAATCGCTCTCTCTGTATCTCTCTCTCTCTCCCTCCTTCCCTCTTTCTCTTTTTGTGAACTCCGTTCTTCCTGCTATCAATCTTCATCGCCAACTAGCGCAGGTTTTACAGTACAGCACGACATCTATACGTCTTCATTGGTTTTATATGTGTCTTCGCTATTCCCTGTGTGAATACTTGGTTCTTATTACAGCTGTTAATCTTTACTTCCTTCTTATCGGCGGTGTTATCAGATTCCACCAGACAATTCTAGTATGCGTGTTTGCTTGTGAATGCATCATTTTTGTTGGTTGTTTGATGTCCTTGTAAATGTGGTTTCCATGTCTAACAGCGTCCAGTAATTTCCTTGTCACCTTCGTATGTCTCTGACTTCCAGTTTAAAAGAATGCATGTTCTAACAAACTTCATACATTAGATATAGTTGTTTTTTTGTTCCAAGTTCGTCCATTGAAGGCGAATGTTCAGACAACCTCGCATTCTCACTGTAACTCCCTGGTCGGGTTCGTATATTGAACTTTGGTGGACTCGCGGCCTGGCATATTGAACTTTCTCGCTGGTCCCTCGTCCCATGAAGACTGCTGTTTTTTTTCCTCCATGATTTGAGCTGGACGATTAATGTCATTATCTGGTTTCGTTGTTGGGGCTTTGCTCTATGTTCGTTTCTTTTTCTTCTCTTTCTGCCTGTGTCTGTCTTTTTCTCTGTCTCTCTCTCTCTTGTCTCTTTCTGTATGTCTCTCTCTCTCTCTCTCTTCTCTTCTCTCTCTCTCTCTCTCTCTCTCTCTCTCTCTCTCTCTCTCTCTCTCTCTCTCTCTCCCTCTCCCTCTCCCTCTCCCCTCTCCCTCTCTCCCTCTCCCCCCCTCCTCTCTCTCTCTCTCTCTCTCTCTCTCTCTCTCTCTCTCTCTCTCTCTCTCTCTCTCTCTCTCTCTCTCTCTCTCTCTCTCTCTCTCTTCTCTCTCTCCCTCTCTCTCTCTCTCTCTCTCTCACTACATGCTATATTTTTTCATCCTTTACCTTTCTTTCAGCTCTAGAAAATTCACATCGTAAATTCCCAACAAGCCACATGTTAGACGTTGCTTCCTTCCCACCTCCTCCTTCCCTCCATTCTTTCCCTCTCTTATCCTTCTCTTTCCCACCTTTTATTATTCTTATTTCGTCCTTCCGCCCTCGCCCCGTGTGCTAAATGCCCGCCCGGCGAAACGCATTCGCTCGGCCTGGCTATTAAGCTGAATTTATGTGGTGTTGTTGGTTGCCAAGTTTCGGCCGTTTGCGGTGCGTTCGCTTTTTATCGTGTTGCCGGGTTGTTCCATCCCCGTATTTCTTCTTTTATTTCCCTTTGTACGCCGTTTCTCTCTCTCTCTCTCTCTCTCTCTCTCTCTCTCTCTCTCTCTCTCTCTCTCTCTCTCTCTCTCTCTCTCTCTCTCTCTCTCTCTCTCTCTCCCGCCCCATAGTCTCGCCTTCGGTACACACCTGCTTACCGGGAAGCTCGTCTGCATGGCGAGTTACGTCACTGCTTGCTTTCCAGGGCGTCACCGCGATGGGGCGTCCGTGGAGCGACAGTTCACGCACCTTCCAGAGAGGGCGTATCACAGTGCATGAGAAACGAGATCTCGCTCTGCCACGCTGCGCTCTGGGCGTCATCGCGCTTCTTAATTTCATATCGAATATCTTTTGGGTGATTTTTGAGACTCGTTCTCTTGCGCTCACTCTGGTCACTAGTTCTCCTGCTCGTACTCTTGCTGCTGCTTCTGCTACTCCTCCGCCTGCTCGTACTCCAATTCTTACCCTTACCCTCCCTCTTCCTCTTACTCGTACTCTTACTCTTTCGTTTACTGTCTGCTCTTATTCCTACTCTTACTCGTACTCTTTTTCTTACTCTTACTTGTACTCCACTCATGTCCCTAACCTTATTCTAAATCTTACTTATCTGCTCTTACTCTCACTATAGGTTTTCCTTCTCGACTCCAGGTATGCGGAGGTACGCTAGCAATGTTGGTATACCTGTCATACCTGAGCGCGGGAATCCAATCCGTCAGCTGAGTTCGTTGAATCAATAGAAGGTACTTTCTCACGTCAGCTCTTGCGATCGATGGCATGATAAAAAATAGATAGAAAGAAGGTGATAAAGATTCTTTCAAGACTTTTGTTCGGATGTCCCGTGTCATGATGCAGAGTACTGCTATAGGCCTGTCGCGTGTGTGATTCCTATAGGCATGCACGTGTGGCTGTCCACGTCATGCGAGGCTCTCATCACTTGGCCTTCACGTGCTAGCGGCCTCTCATGCAATCCGGGGTCAGGCACAGAGAGTCATTCATGGCCTCTTGTGGGCCGTGCGAGAGAAGGGTCCTGCATGAACTCCCGCTCTAGTTCGGGAAGAAAAGAGAGCGTCATGCACAGCGTCGTAGGCACCTTCATGCGAAGTGACTGCCCTCAGAGGTTCACGGATTGTGTCGTTCGCTGGCGGCGCGGAACGGGCTTATGATGCGCTGTTGCTGCGGCTGACCGGTGGCACGGCGCGGGGGACGGACCGGACCGCTTGGCCGAGGGCGAGGTGGAGCTAGTCGCTGCCACTGTGTTGTTATTGTTGTTATTATTGCTATCATTATTATCATTGTTATTATTATCATTATTATTATTATTATTATTATTATTATTATTATTGTTGTTGTTGTTTTTATCGTTATCATCATCATCATCTAATGATAATGATGATTATTGTTACTACTAGTTCATCTAATGACAATGATGATTATTGTTACTACTACTTCATCTAATGATATTGATGATTATTGTTACTACTACTACTACTACTATCATTACCATTATTTCTTCGCCATACCCTCATTGCCATAAGAAAGCACCATACATGCCTCTTAGCTCCACTTTTCCCCCGACACGACGCCAGCACCTGCACACACTAAAAAAAAAAAAAATGTAAAAGAGTTTTGAAAGATATGGAAGAGTTACTTTATCCGTTCCGAACTTTAGGAAGCCCCACGCAAAGGGAACGGATTGTCGGGGCTGTCTGGTTGGCTGAGTGCTTGGCTGTTGGGCCGCCGCGCTCTCCTTTTCTGGGGGTTTGTCTGTGAAGGTGAAGTTGCGTAATGTCTCGTGTCGGAGGGATGGGCTGCGCTTCGGGATAGGTGTGCTTGGGTGCCGTGTATGTGTCGATGGGTTATGTGGAGGTGTGCGTGCAGACGCGTGACTGTGCATAAGTTTGTATGTGAATACATTATACATATGCATATGCATGTACATACACACGTGCACGTACACATACACATACATATACATATAAATCTGCATATACATAGTACACGTACATCAACACCAGACGTATTTATATATTCCGCTTCGCGCGCGCGCGCTCGCACACACACACACACACCACACACACACGCACACACACACACACACACACACACCACACACACACACACACACACACACACACACTTACACACACACACACTTTAACTATATATCCTTGCAAGACGGGAGTTTCCTGCTCAACGTGGCGAAACGGTGTACGCTC